TAGCAGGTACTAGTTTCCCGGGTCAGGAAACACCTGGAATCTGCGGAAGGCAGGAATTGATTCACTTTCCCTGATAGGGCTATCCAAAAGGAGTTCCTACCCGCTACCTGTAGATATAAAAAATATGTAAAAAAAAGATATAAAGTTAAGTTACCACTGTTTGCTTGGCACCTGTTGCAGTTGAAATGGCGTTAATTAAAAGGTACCGAGTCAATGACATGAAACAGGCAGCCAGCCTTGAGGTCGAAAATTATTCGACAGAACAGCAAGGTTAATAGTACCAACCCACTAATTTACGGGCGGTAAATTTGAAAAAGTTAACATGAGTTTGAATGATAACCCTCCCGTAAGAGACCAAACAATGAAAGAAAATTAGCAATAACGCTAATCCCCTGCATGAACTAGTCTAGAACAAACAAGTAGGCAAAATTCATTCAACTCCATATTTAAAAGAGTGATAAACGTCAACAGTGTAGTTGGATATACATCTACAGGTGATTGACGATAAGCACCTAATTTCCAAAAACTCCAATTTCCAAAACTTTCCAATATATGAAAAACGACCAAGTATGCAATGTGAGTTGCATAAGTAAGTCCAAGTTAATTAGCATTAATGTAATAATATATTTTTTATCAAGTATTAATTATAGTAAGTTAAATTTATTTATTAAAGAAAATGTGTTGAATTGTACGACTTTAGAGACACATACATAACAAACTGATTGTAAAGCCTAATTCTGCAAAATTAAAGCATGATATATTTGACTCAAGTTACTTATGTCTGTTCTCTTATTTAAAGCATTAGGATGTTTAAGAATGAAACACATTTCTAAGAACTGTCTTTTGCCAAGATTGCGCTCAGTGCCAAGAATTTTAACTTCATTGAAATTCACCTTATGTTTGGTGTTAATTGCGTGTTGCGCTAACGCACATGTGTGCTTAGAAAGATTAATGTCACTTCGATGAGAAGTAAGACGTCCTTTTAATGATCTTCCAGTTTGACCAATATAACAAGCGTTACACTCATTATATATATATATATATATATATATATATATATATATATATATATATATATATATATATTGTTATGATGTGTTGTTGTTGTATGAGCAATGAGTAAATTTGAATGATATATGTAAATATAGGGTTTTTATCGCGGTTCTCGAAGAATTAGTTTGTAAGTACTTTTTTAAATTATCTTTATTATAACTATTATGAAACAAACCTATCTATCTAATATAAGCACTATCAATTTAAAACAATCTATCTAAAATTTAAAATTCTTACAATTATTAAATTATTAACAAAATTTGGTACCTTCTTTCACTGAACGCCTAAAGTTTTTCCAAAATTAAAGTTATTATCACCACTCGATATCTTCTTACTAAGCCTTGGTTATCCAACTATGTTAATATCTTCCTTCTTAATTATCTCCACTCACCATATAAATATATATTTAACTCCTTGTAATTTCCATATACTTAATGTACTTTGAAATATACTGGATCTTGTGGTTGTATTATTGAATGCTTATTTCAATGAATTAACTTCAAAACTGTCACTATATTACTGTAGTAATAATTAATCTCCAACTGTATTTAACTTAACAATTCATGTAACTTAATCAATGCCTTCTGCTAGATAAGAATCTCTTCATAACCTTATAAATAACTGACTTAATAATCTTAACTCAATTAATAATCTTCTTGTAACTAAATTCTTGAATTATAACTTTATTAACTGATAAATGAACTGGTAACTGAACTTAACTGAACTAAACTGCTAACTCAAACTGACTGACTGAATGACTGACTGAATCACTGACTCGAATTACATGGCTTTTTATATTTTTTTATTCTTTCCAGAATATTCTAGCAACAAATAATGTTCGAATCATTCTATTTTTTCTACTTGAAAATTCTGGAATCGTTTTTTGTCTGTTATGTATTATGTATCCAGTCCCATTGACATTTCTAGAGTTTTCTATCTATAATTTACTTGACTTTAGGCTCTCCAGATCAGAACTACACTATTATATGTAACTTAAACATTTATATGAACTATATTTTTACAATTTTACATCCACAATTATATTCTAAATTAACATTTCAAAAATAAATAACTATTTGACTTTGATACTACAGTGTATGTTTGGTTGCATAGCACATGGCTGAGTAAACATATTAAATATTAAATAAAATAAAATAAAAAAATTTCTTAAACTTAATTCTTATGCTAAATTCTTAAAAATACCCTCATATAATTATTTTTTTATAATATTATCTAGTATATAACTTACAAATTATGTCTCTAACCACTATTTAAATAAATCTACTAATCAACACTGCACATCTGGTTGGATATATTTCTAAGTTATTTTTATTGTATTTCTGTTTTCAAAATAATATATATATATATATATATATATATATATATATATATATATATATATATATATATATTTATATATATATATATATATATATTCTTTTTCTCATGTATATATAGCCAAGCAATTATGCACGAGAAAGAGTATAAGTTCGAAAAATAGACGAACACGGATGAGACGCATAACATCGAAGACCACTGGAATTACATAAAAACACTTAAGTATACAAGAAACAACTCAAAAGTATAAAACAATTGATAATCGCAAACAACAATGGATGACTGATTTAATATTGAGACTAATGGAAAACAGACAAGACCAGAAAAAGAAATAAGATCTTAACTGTCTTTCTTTCATTTCCATATACTCTTTATGAGTACTAAAAACCAATTTACTAAGGATTTTTGCTTAGATGAGGAGATATGTTGTGGAATGCATTTTTTAGATTCCCTATATTTTCTCTTTACATTGCTTTACATTGCTTGCATTGCTTTTTTGTCGACGGAAAGATTTGCTTTCACGTTCAGAGCGTCTGTAATAGTCACTCTGATGAGTTCTGTTAGGACGAAATACGTATAAGCGAATATCAGAGGCACTATACGTGAAATCAAATCTTAACTCTCTTTCTCTTAACTGCCCCTCTTTACAAAAGTTATGGTTATCAGCAAAACAGAGTTATAATCAATGAACATCAGAGCGTATGGAATAAAATTAGAAAGAATACACAATATCAACTATTTGGGCGCCAATATAATCAATAACTAGAATATAAGCAAAGAAAAAAGCATTCGCATTGAAAAAGCCAGAGCTGCCTTCTATAAATTAAAGAAAATTCTGATTATAACAGATATTATATGAAACCATAAAATATTAATACGCTGCTACATATTCTTCACATTGCTGTATAACATATGGACAGCTGGACTCTGGTTGGACAACAACATTAATAAAAAACTTGTGGCCTTTGAGATGTGGATTTACCGACGAATATTGCGGATAAGTTAGGTTAATAGAATAACAAATATAATAGTTTTACATCGAAAGAAAAAGAGCACAGAAATAACAAAAATAATAAAAATTTGAAAGTTACAATATTTTGGCCATATAATGAGGCATCCAAAATCGACGGAAGAAAAGTCTTAGGCCGAAGAAGAACATTCTGGACAAGGCACTAAAAGAATAAGAAAAAGATTCAGCTTGAAATTTCTTTGCTTGTTTTGTTGGTGGTAGTCACTAGCGAACCAAGTTATGTGAGGCTGTCAACACGTTTAGACATGACTTCCAGATTATGTTTCCCATTTCTCATGTAACCAACATGTACTTGGTTTTGCGTTGATGACTAGACTGACCTGTTACGCCCTCGTTTTCAATTCTAGGAAATATTGCTCACCGTCCTATTATGTTAATGTCATCAGAGCTTGCTTAGATTTGTATGGATCTATTGTAAGTAGTACCAGAGTCTCTAATCTGTGAGTCTCAGACTGACTTTTTCAAGGCAATATTAAATAGGAGGCAAGCCAGGACATCCCCGTGTCTGAGTCCATCCTTTATTTCAAAGAATCGAGAATTCTCTCCCCGTATTCAAAGACTGGCTTTTAAGTTAGACATTGTTATTCTTGTTAATCGTATAATTTTTTCTGGTATACCAACTCGCCTATTAATTAGTCTGGTACTGTTTTTTTGACACTGTAGTATGTGGCATTAAAGTCGACGAATAGGTGATGGGTTTCAATAGTAAATCTTAATGTTTTCTCGAGGATTTGCCTTATTGAATGAATCTGGTCAATTGTTGATTTTTCTGTAGTAAATCCGGCCTGGTATTTTCCAAGTATGCCTACGTAGCCAAGTAAACTTGTAATATTTCGTAGATAATATTTGCTAGTATTTTGTAAGCAGTTGTGAATAGGGTTATACCACGATAGTTGTCACACTAAAGCTCATCGCCTAATTTAATAAGTTCCTGATGATTTATTATTTTTAAGCTTTTTAATGATTTGGGCAACCTCTTCAATGGAAGGTGGTCTTTCTTTTGGATTGAATAAATTTCGATCTGCTAGGTTATTATCTGCTTCTTCGATGTGATTACCATACGATTTCTGTATGGAATTTTATATAACTCCACCATGTATTTTATGTTTTACAAGTAGGTAACTAAAAAGATTTAAACGTGTGTTAGACTATTTTATATGTATTTTAAAGTGTGTTTTAAAGAAGTCATATAGTTGAATGTGTACAATATTAGGATTTATTTTTAATTCCTTGTGTAGGAGCGACTAACCCTCCAAAAGAAGGAAGGTTTAGTTCAAGGCCTAAAGTTGCAAAAAGTTTTATTATACAGACTGAGGAAATATTTTAATTTAAAAAAATTAGCTCTACTGATTAAAATAACAAATCTTATAAATTTCTATAATTCATTCATCTCTAAATTTGTTTATTTAAGTTAATATCTGATACGAAAAACAAAGATAAAAACTGAATACAATATATATTAATCATGCAACAGGGCAAACAGCACACTCCTATCAGTGATTTCTAAAAGGTAAGTAAATAGAAAAACTGTTTTATCTTTAGTATAATTATATTACATTCTATATTTAAAAAAAATTATAGATTTTTCCAACAAAATGGCACCTTCCTACAAAGTTCGTTACTTTAATACACCTGGTAGAGCTGAACCTATTAGGATGATTCTTAGTTATGGACAAATACCTTTTGAGGATGACCGAGTTGCTAGGGAGGACTGGCCTAAAATAAAACCTAGTAAGAAATTTTTTTAGAAATTTTTTTATGTTAAACTTAAATTTTCAATAAACACATTTTTACTTTTTATCAATAAAAGAAAAAAGGGCGGTGATGTAATAAATATTTGCCAAACTGTTATTATACATAAATTTTCTTCTTACTATACAGTATCTTCTTCTTTAAGTGGCGTTTCTTACCGAGATTAGATATTTAAGTTGATTGTAGAAGTTCGAGTAATAGGCAGAATAGTAAACAATTCACTTAAATTTGGTTAGCCATCAAATTATACTTCTTCTAACGCTCTTTCCTGTAATGTATTATTAATATAAGTGTTTCATACTTTTGTCCATTTATTAACTATCCCAGATATTGTATCTTTCTTCTTTCTGTGGTGTTCCATTGTACATTCTTTCACCTATCTCTAGCAAAGTCCTTTGTAATTATTGTTTAAATGGGAATAAGCCACAAATATACATAAATTATCTATCCTCTATACGTTACTGGCTTACTAATACTGGTATTTTCCTTTAAATAGCTTCCTCGCTTAAATGGGTAACTATAAGGAATTTGCGACACAATTGGTCTCATTTAGCATAACTAGAGCCGCTTCTTTGATTTTTCTCTTTTTACCATCCGTTTCTTTTGACTATATTTGAATCATTCCATTGAACCCTATGTCCATTATCCCATACGTGTTTACGTATATGAGATCCATCAAATTCTCTATTTTTAATATAAGATTAATGTTCACTTATTTTAACATTTAATGGCCTTGATGTTTCACCTAAATAAAGCTTATCGCATTCACAAGGTATTTTATAAATACAATTCTTTGTCCTTTCTTGTTCAATGTTAGGTTTGGTTTTAGACAAAATAGATTTCAATGTGTGTGTTGTTTTGAATGTTGTTGAAATGTTGAATTAATTTTCTATCTTATAAGTTTTTTTGATAACTCTTTTATGTATGGTATTGTTATTTTCCTCGAATTATTCCTTATGTATGCTGTAAAACCTCGTTCTTAGTTGTTCTGTTCTATTCAGTCGATTGTTGAAAACTCCCTATTTACAAACGATAAAGGATAATCATTTAAAAAAACAGATGTTTTCTTCCAAGAACGAATTTTCGTTAGAACATGCAATTTTAACTAATAGGTTGATAAATTTATATTTATACATTATACAGTGCATTACAAACAGATGTCCAAGTTTTTTTATATATTCTATTGAATCTTCGGTTGCCACTACAAAGTCTGTAGGGTCGCCTGTGTATGCTCTGCGTGGGCAGTCTTGTACAATGTGCTTGATAGTCAGTCTCGCAGCACCGGCGCCGCACTGTAGTCACAACCAGGCGAGAAAAGTTGACCCCATCTGTAGAAGGAGTCAGCGCATCTTCCACAGTTGGTTTTGATTTGATTTAGGGCTGTCAAATCTTACTTCTTCTTCATGTATCATGTCCTTTCAGAATGTTGGTTACCATCATTGCTATCTTAATTGTATTCACTATTAAACTGGTACAAGTTTTTCAACCATTAAGTCTTTCTTCGTCCTGGACTACGTTTGCTTTCCATTTTCCTTGTAAACCTTGCAAAACCTATATTTGGGACTCCCGTTACATGTCCGAAATACTCTTGATGCGTTTTATAACCTTAAGAAGACGTTCAAATCCGTCAGGTTTGTCTGTGATGTCCCGTAGACTATGGTAATGCGGATCTGTTTTATTTTCCCATTCTTCCATTCATCGGACACTTAAGTTAAAATTGGAATTTTGTAGCTATTAAGCGGATTTAAGGAAATTTTACCTGGATCGGAGACGGTTTCCAAGAATTTTGGGAATGTCGTTGTGGACTAGAAGTTGACATTTATCACAATTTTTCCTGTCATAATATGCATAGCAGGGTTTATCTAAGCATTTGGGTATGCCTGCTGGTCAACCACACCAGTGAACAATATTCTACCACCGAGTATATAAGGTCAAGAGCAGATGATGGTAAGATGCTGGGGATACTCATATAGTGCCGCAGAGTTTCTTTATTAAATTGTTATGTTTTCTAGTTTTGCTGCTATGTTCATCAGCTGTTCTCGAAATGTAAACGGTATATTAAGAGGGGTTATTCATTTAAGCTAAGTATTCTTCTACGACACCCCATTTTAAATGACTTTTCTTTTCTATCTTCCTACTTCCTTTATAGATTTGCGATGGATCCAATTTCGCATGCCTCTTTATCGGATGTCTAAGTTATCATCTTATCTTTTTCTTGGCCTTCATATACCTGTACTGCCATTAAATGATTTATCTTGTTTTATTGATTATTTTTACTAATCTGTACTCTTCCGTTTGACTTATATTGCTATGTTCCATATTATTTACCTTTACCTGAAATCTCTATTACGTTATCTATTCTATAGTGTTTTCCTCACATATCTGTTTCTGAACCATCTACATATTGCTCTCAAAGTATTTTGTTGTGTAATTTTAGTACTATTTATTAGCTTTATAAAATTTAACCACGATTTACAATACGTTTATTTTGACTTATCGGTTTTCACTTCGAAAATCGTTCTAAATTAAAAGTTTAAATGTGCTAGACTATATATTTAAGACATCTCGCTATTCTGTTGGATTTACTTATCTATTGGACAGCTATCCATTATGTCCGTATTTCCATAGATTTTTCTTATTTTCCTTCTAATGGTCCTAAAACCCATTGTTTATCTTGGTCTGCTTAACAGCTTTCTTTCATTCTGTCCTATCGGATTACTTTTATAGATCGATTATCATTTTTTTCAGTGGAAAAACTAGTTTAGTCTTTGCGACTTTAAAAATGTAACGATATCTGAGCTATATAATAAGTAATTCAGTTTATAGTTTATTTTTATCCTCCACGAACCATCATTACCATGTGGTGGTCCAAATATCTTTCTTAATATTTGGCGCTTCAATATTCTCAATTGATTTTCATCAGTGGTTGAATGTGTCCAAGTTTCACATCCATAAGTGACTAATTACTGTGGTCTTATTACTGTTTTGTAGATTCCAAGTTGAGACTCACGATTCAGTAACTTATATTTCATTAAGCCTTTGTGTGAATAAAAGCGCTTATTACCGCTAAGAATTCGTGCTTGCATTTCTTGACTACCGTTGTTGCTCTAATTTATTATTGAGCCTAAGTAGGAAAAGGTGGAGACACATTCGTAGGTATTGTTGTCTACCTTCAGATTCTCATAGTAGTTCTACTTTGTGCTCTTCATATATTTTGTTTTTCCTTCATTTATATTTAGACCAAATGCAACGGTTTTCCGTTTTAAATATATAGCTTTTTCGCTCAGTACCCTTTTATTGCAACTTATTTTGGCTCTAACATCATCCGCATATGCACATATTTAAGTGAATCATGTGTTTATACAGCCGTTCATATCTAGTTTTCTGATAATAGCTTTTAAAGTTAGATTAAAAAGTTTTGTAGATAAGGCATCGCCTTGCTTAACTCATTTTTAATATCAAATAACTCTATCATATACTAATCTATTCTCACCATGGCCGTGGAACCCTCCAAACTCATTTGTATAAGTTCTAACTAACTTTTTCGGCATTCCTACAATAGATATCCCTTTTAAAAATTTTTGTCTATCTACTTTTTTTCATAATGTATACTTCTTAACATATATATTTGGTCTATAGTTGACCTCTTTGATCTGAAACCACATTCTTCTTCTTCTTGTAGTGCCTATCCGTTTCGGATGTTGGCGACCATCATGGCAATCTGTATTTTAAAAACTGCTGCTCTGAAAAGGTTTGTGGTTGTTGTGTTGAACCACGTACGTAAATTTTTCAGGCAGGAAATCCTTCTCCTTCCTGGTCCTCGTTTTCCTTCTACTTTTTCTTGTAGAATTAATTGTAGCACCCCATATCTTTCGCTATTCCTCATGATAGCATCGAGGTATTTGATTTTGGCTGTTTTATTGTGGTTAACAACTCATTTTCTTTTTGCTTTTTTTGTCTTTTTGTGGTTTTATGAAACGACATTGGTATTCACAAATTGTACCTTCTGAAAATGATTCAAGATGGCTGTATATAATTTTAGATAATATCTGGAAGGTGACATTTAACACTGTTATGTCTCTATAATTTTCGTAAAGTCGTTTGTCTCTCCCTTATACATAGGAAGTATGATTCCTAATTTTCAATGCTCTGGGATAACTTCTAGTGTGCATATGCGGTAGATTAGTTTATGAATACGCTACCATACCATATAAGACGACGTCTGGTTTAAAAATTTAAATTTGAGTGGAAAAACAACAATAGAACTCTTCAGCACTGCTGCAAATAGAGTAAAATGTACCATAATGATCGCCAATGTCCTTAAAGGATGAGGCACATGAAGAAGAAGAAACACAGTCCTATCTTTTATCAGTTATGCAGATATTCCATCTGTGCTAGGTACTTTGTTATTTTTCAAATATTTTATGACATAAATACATATAGACTTTCTTTTAATGTTGGTTTCTCAACTAGTTGTTTTTCTGTGACATTAATAATTTCTTCTTATTGGTCTTATTCTTTCCAAGAGCTCTTGAAAATGTTCTACTTTTTTATTAGTTCCTCTTTCTCATATTTGTGCACCACATTCTGTTGTGACCATTAGATATTTACCGCATTTAACTTACTTCGACTAAAATAATTTTTTAAATCGCTATCATAATTTAAAAATGTGGCCTCTTATCTTGATTCTATTATGTTAAGGTACTATTCTAGCATATTTTTGTAAAGTAAACAACTGAAATTTATTTACCTAATTTAAATTTTAGCAACACCTTTAGGACAACTTCCAGTACTAGAAGTAGATGGAAAACAAATTCCTCAGAGCACTGCTATTTGCAGGTATTTGGCCAATGTTACAAATCTTGCTGGTAAAGACGCAAAGGAAAATCTCGCTATAGATATTGCAATTGAAACTTTTGAAGATTTAAAGAAACGTAAGTAAATTTAAAACATTATTTTTGGTGATTTTGTTAAGTTTTCAGATATTGGGACTTTATAGTATATCAAGCAGTGTGGGACTCTTCTTCTTAAATTGAGTTTTTATAGAGAGGTATTCTGGCTTATTACTTTTTTGCTAATGCATGCGCATTATATCACCAATCGTTTTAATTTACAAAGACATGTATCGCAGTTGTCTTTTTCTATTTACTATTCCCTACACTAAAGTTACTACATAGAAATAAAACAAAAAATAGCAATTACTAAAATAGAGACATTCCTTTGCAATCATTATCTCGGTTTAGAACTAAGACAAAGAATATTTTAGGGCTATATTTGGTAGAGTGCGATATTAATGAGGAGTGCGACAGGGGTGTGTACTGTCACCACCACCATTCAATACATACTCTAAAAAAATTATGAAAAGAGCTCTTGATTGAGAAACAGCAGAAATAAAAGTCAATGGAACACCTATTAACAACAATAGATATGCAGACGATACTATGATAATAGAAGATAACCGTCAAGACCCACAAAAGCTAATAAACAAGATACTTGAGTATGAAGAAGAATATGGATTATCAATAAACATCAAGAAAACTAAATTGATGAAGATATCAAAAATCCAAAATAGTGATGAAAGCCTGTCAATTACCTAACGGTAAAACTTTAGAACTTTAAAAAAACTTTAAAAGTTGAAAACTACAATTATCTTCGAATAGAGAAAGCACGAACAAACTTCAATAAAATGAGAAATGTACTTTGTGCAAGAGAACTGAAATTAGACTTGACAGTTATACTGGCAAGGTGTTATATTTGTTTGATTCTGCTTTACAATACAGAAGCATAGACACTTAACGCATCGACTACTCAAAAATTGGAAGGATTTGAACTATGGACCGAGCATGTAACAAACAACGAAGTGGTGAGAAGAGTCAACAAAATAATGGAAATATTAGAAACCATCAAGACACAAAAGCTGCAATGAAAATGCAACATACTTCAAATAATTATATAAGGGAAAATCTAGGGCAAGAGAAGTGTAGGAAGGAGAAGAATCTCATCGTTGCGTAATTAATGCGTAATTATATGGAATGATACGAATGCACATCAATCGAACTATTCAGAGCGGCAGCATCTAAAATCAGAATAGTCATAATGATTGTCAACTTCCGTCGCGGTGATGGTAGGTAAAGAAGAAGATATTTGGTCTGTACTTTTGAAGGGTTCAGAAGTGTAGACACTTAAATACTAAGTAGGAACATGATTAAAGCATTGGAAATGTGGATTCATAGACGAATGCTAAAGATACCTTAGACAGTAAGAAAAACTTATAAGGAAGTAATAAGGTAAGTCAACAAAGATAGGGAATTGCTAAAGACTGTTAAAAACCGTAAAATTTCTTATCTGGTGCATGTAATGAAGGGAAATCGATATGAAATACTGCAACTAATCCCTCAAGGCAAAATAGAAGGCCATAGAGGTGTAGAAAGAAAACAGGTTTCTTGGTTAAAAAACATTCGGGAAGGGACTCAAATATCAAATGCAGGACAATAATTATTCCATGTGGCAGAAGATTAAAGGACTTTCGCAATGGTGATCGCCAACTTCGGATAACTCTGGTATGGCACGTGAAGTAGAATAAATTTTGTGGAAATGTTGAAAACAAAAGTTTTCAGTATTTTATTATTAAATAAAATAAATTTCGATCAAGTAACGGTCGAATCCATCACTCAGTCTTCTAACATTTGTTTTCTCTTGCTGTTTCTTATGGTTATTCTAGCCTTCATCTCTTCTTACACCTATCCAATATCGTTGCATTGACTCCTTTTCATCACTGTCCCAACTTTCTAAGGAGACATTCTTTCCTTTGTTATAAAAGGTGTCTTCCGTTCATAAAGAGTGTATCACAACTTTTGTCTCATTATCCCTCATTACATTCCTTTTTTAACATATCGATTTTGTTACACATCTTCATTGCTTTACTGGCCTTTTGTTCCACTTTCCATTTTACTTCTCTTGTTCGACTGCCTTCTACCCATCTTCTCTATTTTGTTGTACTTGCAAATCTTCTATGTATCTCACTATGTATCGTTTATTTACATCTACCTTATCGTTTTGTTAGCGTTAATGAGTTTTTTATACCAATGTATACTGAACTATAATTGCATGGAATGTGATAAATTCCTGATGTGGACAACGAATTTTTATGATTTTTATTGGCAAATAGTTACCATTAAAATTATGAAACATATTCCATTATTTTATCAGCCGATGTATATCCTTCTTTAACGTTCTTGGAGCTGAAAGCAATTACCTTTTAAGGCCATTTTATGTGGTTCAAAGATGTGAAATCGCAAGGCGATAAATCGGGACTATAGGGTGGATATTTTAATATCTTGACTTTATTTCGTTGTAGATTTTCTTTTAATGCCTTGGCAACATGAGACCGAGAATTTGCTAAAAAAATTGCCTATTTCCATTACATTGATGACAACTTACTAGATGGTTCAAAATAATGACACTAAGATTCATCGCCAGTAATTGTTGACGAAAGATAACTATCTTGGCTGTATTCCCTGAGATGTATTCCTGTATGATAACAAAAGCCGACGAACTAATTGCGCACAAACTTTGCTGTAACCCAGTTTATGTTCTATAGTTTAGATAGAACTTGTACTCACACCAATATTTTCTGAAATTTCTCTGATTAAAATTTAACGATTTTCTTTCAAGCTTTCAACATACGCTGCATTCCTATATCATAATGTAGTTACCTCGTCCTGGTTTAAAATTGGAATACCTCATGCTAATTGCATTTTGACGAATTGTTACTAACAAACGTCATTTTAAGTCACATTATTTAAAATTGCAGTCAAATACAAATGATCAGTATGGTTTTTACAAACCTAAATAGCAAAACAGAAAGTGGTTAACTGTTTACAATTGTTACCAAGGTTAACCTGACCAAAGATGGGTTTAAAATGGACAAACCTCGTGTGTTTCGTGAATCTTTGTCAAGATTTTAGTAAATTAATTTTAGTTTCAATTTTTTTCGTTTCAGTTATAGTTAGTTGTTGCCTAAGATATTACAAGCATAATTTTTGTACCACAACAATATGGTGGTAACAAAAGGATAATATTAATTTTAAGTTATTTTTATAGCTATGGGTGAATACATGAGAGAAAGGGATGAAAGCAAAAAACAAGAAAAGTTTCAAAAACTAAAGGAAGTGATTCCTTTCTACCTAGGAAAATTGGAAGAATACGCCAATAAAAACGGAGGCTATATTGCCTTACCCAGGGTAAGTCAAAAATATTGAATATAGTTTAAAATTGCAGTATATGAATTAATTATTATTCATAAAATAAGCTTCAAGTTTACGTAAGACTTATCAAATTTTGTCTGTGGTTCCCTTAAGATATGGTAGGAAAGCTTTTGACTTAATTTTTGTTGGATTTTTATTGTCGCTGTTATTTTGCCTTCTGTATGGTGTAATAATTGTAGCAACTTTGCCTAAGGGTGTTTCTTTGAATTTTAAGGATCTTATAATAAAAGCAAATTTCAAACCTTCTATTACTGTCGCGCGATAATGAGAGAGAGCGTTTAGATACCTGTCTATGTGGATTGACTTGCGATAAACATTGTATCCCAGGATCCATCTTTACGTTTGGTAATTATGTCAAGAAAAGTAAATTGGTCGTTCGACTCTAGTTCCAGTGTAAATTAAATACCCTTCTGAATGTAATGTAGATGTAGTTGAAAATTGAATACTTTGGCTAGATTATCAGTATTGTTGCCGAGAGGGGGCATTTGGGCCTGTGGGACCCATCGCCGGCTCTTCGGACTTCTTCCTGTCCCCGAAATTTGATCGGGTGTTGACCATCTTTGTTTGTCGCTATCGAAAGGGTTAATAATCGCTACTGGTATAAAGTAACAGTTACCGTGACAAGTATCGGTTATAGGTAACAGTTCCAAGGAACGGTTACGAAATAACGGATCAAAGATAGAAAACAGAACAGGTACAATAATCTAAGTATTCCTTGACTTACGGAAGGAATAGCTTAGTAAATCAAAATAAATCAAACGGTATAAAAATATAATACAAGGTAAATGCTCCTAAGTGTTTCTTGACTTAGGACAGAAATATAAAAGAAAGTGAAAATATGCAAATGTGAAAATAAAATATAGAAATATTTCTAAGTGTTTCTTGACTTACGGAAGAAACGGCTTAGAAAATAAAACATTCAAAGTATAAAAACAAGAAATGCAAAAGGGAAATAGATTATAGAAATATGTCTAAGTGTTTCTTGACTTACGGAAGAAACAACTTAACGAAAAATAGAAAATAAAATAGTCAATAATATGAAATAATATCTTAGATAAAAGTATCAGAAATAATAATGCAAATATGAAAATACTTCTAAGTGTTCTTTTGACTCACCGGAAAAGAACGACTTAGACACACACAAATTAACAAGTCGAATAAAATAGCAAAGCAATATTTCTAAGAGTTCTTTGACTTACCGGAAAGAACAGCTTAGATACAAATACAAGAAAATAATCAATCAAAATAATCAAATAAAATATCAAACAATAAGTACATGAATAATGTGTAATATTCTAACCTGAAAAGGTCTGAATATACAATAATGCTAAAATAAAACTGGTATATAGGAAATCAGAAATAAAACAATAACTTAGTTGGAACAATAATAGCACCGACTAGGTCTACAGTAGAAGAGGCAAGCTCGACTGCCCGATGAGAGAAATTCCGTCTGCTTTTATATAAAACAAATCCTTTGTTTTACGCAGTAAAAGTGGAATTTCCCTACATCGAGTCAATTAGAAATTCGGATTTGCCCACACTTGGAATTTCCAAGTATTTCTCCGAATTTCTAAATGCATCCGGCACGGCGGTCAGCTTCTGCCTGACACGCCTTCGGAGACAGTATATCGTCCGCGTAAGTGAATTGCACATACGGAGAAAAAGAAGAGCCAATAGCTGCATCATCTCTCTGCCTATCCATTCACCCAATTTAAACGATATAGTCGTTTTTGACACAGTGTGTAGCTAGATCTTCGTTTACTGTTATAATTTTTATGAGTTCCTCGATACAGACAAACTTAACGTAAATAATCTTGTAAATAAATATTTTTTATCTTTTAGATAACATGGCCTGACATTGTCTTTATTAATATTTATGAAAACTTGTTAGATGGACTAGGAAGTGATTACATGAATACTTATCCAGGATTACAAAAAGTTAAGCAAAATGTTCTATCTCAACCTGGAATAAGAGATTGGATCAAAAATCGACCAAAATCGGAAAAAAAATATGACTTAAAGCAAGATTTGTAAAGTGTTAGTTTAAATAAATGATTATTTTTATACTACTTCATCGTTCTTTATTTTCTTTCACTAGGTATTAAGGACATGTATTAAAAGAATGGAAAAGAAGAAACAGTAGGTAAGCCAGCTATAAGCTAGCATTGTGCATAAGAAAAATTAATGAGTATGGCGATGGAAGTTCATTTTCTAAAATCCATAAAAACGTGACATTTAGTAAAATAAAAGGATAGCTCGATATTACTTCCTCTTACTCTCATTTTCTTTCGCTCCTTTCTATCTAATCCTCTTTTGCTATTTTTCTCTCTGTTTTTGTGGGCTCATAACACGTTTTAAATTTGGTTAACGTAATACGCATGGTTTAAAAGATACAATCATTTAAACAAGTAAATTGTTAATAATAAATTAACCCCAGGGGAGGCCAAAGAGACAACAACGTGCAAATGAACAAGCAAAATTGCTTATATAAAGCAAGAAGAAGAAGAAGAAGAAGTTACAACCTGTGTTTGGTTGTAAAATAACTTTCAACCACAAGTTCAGTCGACGTAAAAATTTCACCGACGAGGCAAAAAATTATTTACTTAATTTACTAGATAGACGGACAGATTTCAGTGAACAGAGTATAATTCAGTCTATCTACTAATTATTATTTTAAAAATCGATTTGCTTAAGCAGTTTGTTTATGTTACAAAAACAGTTAAGCTAATAAAAGTGGTAAATTTTTTTTAAGTATTTACACTTTTACAGTATTTATACTTTTAATATGATTTATTTTTATATTTTACCAGTTTACGTAGTTTTGTAGTGTTTTTAATGATTTAGATAAAGCATAAATAAATTTCAGTGCCTTATCATTATTTGCCTAATACTTATGGAAAAATTTATAATTTATTGTGGCGAATATAAATGCAATAAATTTGAACTAGATATTTTGAACTTCCAAGGCTAAATTTAGCATTGTATAACTTTTTTGGTTGTTTTACTGATAAAATGTATATTATTAAAGTATTGCTACAAATTGGGATAACATAAATAACAGAGAATCGTTGGAAACATACTTTTAGATACCATTTTTAATATTTTAATATTTACGTTTAAACATTAATTTTATTTACTAAATAAACACATCAAAAATGTCTAAGGAACAAACAAACCCACAGAACTTCCTATTTATAAGCTGCAATATACATGTTGTTTCAATCTTTATCATAGCACGGTAACTGTCAGCTAATGTGTTACATGCAGACCATAATCATGTTCTTTATTTCTTACATTTTAATTATACACATTATTGTTGTAGCATTTTCATTTCATCCTGTATATCAGAAAAGCCGAAAAACATTGCGTTTCTGAGATTGATAATATAAACTTTTGGAGTCTGTTTTTAATAAACAAATTGCTCTTTCGTTAAATCTCTAGATGTTTACACAAGTAATAAACAAGAATCTTTCTGTTTATGCGGACAAGCATCTTATGCTTGCCAGCTTATACATTATTAAGAGTATTGGAGTCACGGTTTTAGGCGGCACGCGCCCTTCCGGTAGGGGTCTATGGAGGAGTATCGCCGAGCCGCAAGCCCTTATCTCTTGCCGTACTGCTCCAGCATAGGCCGATCAGATACCAGCATATTCTAGACTAAGCCGAATTTCTAGTTTAGAATTTTAAACTGCTGCGTTAGCCTTTTTGTTTTTCTGTACACCGAGCTGGGGATTGAACTGAAATCTCTCGCATTAAAACGAAGGAGATGCCAGCAGCCCAGCCCGCTTGGCTATCCGATCAGCAGTACTTTTTTTAATGCCGCAGTTAAATTCGTGGCAAGTACAGAATGGGAAAATCCATAATGCAGTGTAGTAAAACTGTAAAAGTACATAATATGTCTTACTTCAAGAGATAGTAAACAGCTAAACAAAGATCAAATAAAGTAATGAATTTTAATTAAGTTAAAATTAAAGTCATAAAAAGAGTCAGTGCCGGCTGTAAAACAGTAGATAAGTCATATATGTAAAGTCTTTTAATTTAATTTAAAACTTGTCAAAATATTTGGAGATTTTTCTTCTTCTTCTTCTTGTGCCGTCTTCTAACGAAGGTTGGCGATCACTTCTTTAAACGTTTCTCGATCTTTTGCAAATATCTGTTCAACACTGAGATTAGTCCAATCTCTGATATTCCTCAGCGAACTTCCCTCTACTCTACCTTGCATGATGACTTGTAGCAGAGAGTATTTATCGTTTCGGAGTATGTGGCCCAGATACGAGGTCTTAGCGATATACGATACGATGTTTTAGAGATTTTTCTACCTGGTGAGTTTTATTTTTCTCCTTGCGTTAGGTACCAAACTTTGTCATTTTCATAGGTACATTGCTATTCCCAATTTTTTTTAATATAACCCAATCCCAAATCTATACACCAACGTCGCAAAGCTCGCCGTTGCGTCTTTCCATTCCTCTTTCCATCCAGACAAGTAACGGTACAATGTGATGGGTCTATATTCAGAATACGCATAGTGGGATGAAAATTAAGTTAGCTAATAACCCACAATATTCATATTTCACATGCCTTTTATCGATACCATATTTCTAGAGACGTTAAAATGATATATATGATATAAATGATATATTAAAAAACTCTCAAATCCCATTATTGCTCCAGCTGCGAAACAGCTCCGCGGAGGTCATTCCAAACCATTGTCGGATGTTTTTTAACCGCGAGATACGACAGCGTCCCGGCCCTTTCCTGCCAAATTCTTTACCCTGCATAACGAGTTGAAGAATTCGATATTTTTCTTCGTTCCGCGTCACGTGCCTGAGGTATCCAGGTTACGTTGTTTTACTAAATTAAGCACTTCTTTTTCTTTTCTCATGCGCTGTAGGACCTCAAAATTGGTGACTTGATCCACATACGATATTTTTAGTATCCTTCTGTAGATGCATATCTTTGACATTGGCTTGGATGGCAGAGATGTTCGAATAATTGCAAATTATTATTGGAATCAAACAACATCAGTTTTAGTAGATGGTGTGGAATCACAGGCTCTCAATATTAAAAGAGGAGTACGGCAGGGATACCTCTTGTCACCCCTGCTTTTTAACGTTTACTCCGAAAGAATTTTCAGAAAAGCACTTTCTGAAAATTAAGAAGGAATACTTGTGAACGGCGAAGTCATCAAGAATTTGCGATATGCGGACGATACGATACTCCTAGCTTCTAGTCAAGTAGATCTGTAAACACTACTTGATAGTGTCGTTGAGAGTTGTAGGGAGGCAAGTCTGGATCTTAACATAAGGAAAACCAAAATACTCGTAATAAGTACACAACAACAGTCTATATAATGTAAATAATACCAAACTTGAGCAAGTTGATAAAATCGTTTACCTTGGACAGTAATTAAAATGTAACGCAGAAAGCCACGGCGAAATTAGATCCAGGATAAAGCAGGCTAGAGCTACTTTTAGAAGGCTGTCCAAGGTGTTATGTAACAAAGACCTAAAATTGGCATTAAGGATCCGTCTACTTACGTGTTCTCGGTCTTACTTTATGGTGTTGAGTACTGGACTGTGAATAAAATCGATCTAAATCGCCTTGAGGCTTTTGAAATGTGGTGCTATAGAAGAATTTTAAAAGTTTCCTGGGTGGAGAAGATTCGAAATTCCACAATACTAGAACGTCTCAGCAAGACTACTGAGATCGTAAAAAGCATCAAGCAGAGAAAGCTGGGGTATTTCGGACATGTAATGAGAAATCCCAAATATAGGTTGCTACAAAATATCATGCAAGGAAAAATAGCAGGCAAACGCAGTCCAGGACGAAGAAGAACCTCATGGTTGAAGAACTTGCAAGATTGGTACGGTGTTGATACAAGCATGCTATTTAGGGTGGCAGTAAATAAAATTAACATAGCTATGATGGTAACCAACGTTCTGAAAGGATATGGGACATAAAGAAGAAGATATCTAGAAGGCTTTAAACCGCTTCGCAACCTGCCATTAGTGAGCCGGGATCTACATTTGCACATCTGACAACCATAAGTTTTTTTTTAGTTTGTTTCTCACTCGGTATAGTAAGGCTGCTAGATCATTTAGGCTGATTGCTAGTAACACAGTGTCATTGGCGTAGCGGATATTATTGATGTATTCATCGTTCACTCGGATTCCCGTCTCTAGGATTGTGAGGCCTTCAGTAAAAATTTCCTGAGAGTATATATTGAAAAGAGTCGGCGAGAGCACACAGCTTTGCCTTACTCCTCGCATGATCTTCACTTGGTCGGTCAGCTGGTCTTCGACCTTGACTTGAGCACGCTGGTTCCAGTATACATTCGTGATGATCCGAGTATATTTCTCATCGAATCCTACTTAGCGCGGCGAACATCTTCTGGTGCTGACAACGGTCAAATGCCTTGGTCCACAACTGACATCGCGGCATCTCTGAAGTAGGACTTGTAAGGTGAAAAGTGCTTCACGTGTACCCATGGAATTGCGGAACATTTTCTTCGCATTTCTTGTAAATTCCGGCAAGTATGATTTTAAGAAAAGTCTTAAGTACATGACTCAGAAGACTGATAGTTCGGAAATCTTCACACGTTTTCGCCGATCGTTTTTTGGTAGTGTTACATATATTGACAATAGCCATTCCTCTGGGATATTACCTGAATCGTATATGTCGTTAAACAGTTCAGTTAACTCCTTTGTGCTCACTTCACTCATCACCTTAATATGTTCAACGAGTATTTCGTCCGGACATGTGGCCGTACCATTCTTAGAATGTTTTAAAGCTGCTTTTTCCTTGCTTTCTATCTGAAGAAAACAACAAAAGCCATTATCAATAAAACTTCAACATTAAAATTCCTGTTGACATAAAACAATCTCTAATTCCTCGTGAAAAGTCTTTTAGAATACCTTGAATATATAGCCTGCCCAAAATTCTCAAACCCGATATTCCTCTGCATCCCATTGTCATTGCATACAACTGCCCTACACAACCATTGGCCAAGTACCTGGCCAAAACACATGCTATATCCTTTCTCAAAAATTCTTTTTGTTTCATTGAACTTTTTAAACTATGCCCTATCTCAACGTCAGACATTATTATAGGTTTCAAAGAAAAAAAATCTATGGCTAAAGTTGTGTTCCCACAGTTCTATGCTAATCAGATACCAAGGTACTAAAAAGTTACGAAAGAAATTAGGTATACTTGGTTAAAATCTACAAGAGATCCTAAAAAAAGTGGAGGGAGTCTCTACTAGGCCTGCCTCCCTTGCATTTGATAATAAAATACGATGATTTGAGATTCTACAGAATAAAATAATCAGTGAAACTTTGCAATGAGGGACAGATCATTCGAGTATCACAACAACTGTAAAAAAGGAAATGTTGAATAAAAAACCAGATTACATAACAAAACAAAATAACAAAATACAATTTTAAGAATTTGCGTAAGGTGTCTATTCCTGACAGAAATGTATGGAGAAACAAGAAATATCATAAATAGCAGGGTAAGGTCTGGTATACAGATGGATCCAAAACTACAGAGGGTATGGGTGCAGAAATGTACTCCAATAATCCAAGAATTAGCGAAAACTTTACCATTCTGAGGAATTGCATCGGTTTTCAAGCGGAGATTTATACAATACTGCAATGTGTAGAAGAAAATAATGAGAGAGCTATTGAAAAAGAGCAGATCAATATATTGTTTGACATTCAAACGTCAATGAAGACACTGATGTGTCAGGCAGTAACGTATAAGTTGGTGTGGGACTGCATCAAAGAACTAAATTAACTGGGAGACCCTAACAATGTTGGGCTGGTCTGGGTACCAAGATATTAAACCCCAGACTGGGTACCATCGAAGGCAACGAAAAAGCAGATTAAATTGCAAAAAGAGGATCAAACGAATCAAACGAGCTGGCTGTGACTCTGGGAATACAGAGGGCTGCAGTTCGCAGGGCTGTAGAGGACTAAATTAAAGAGGAGCGATATTGGGAGAGAATCCCAAAACAAACACATGGAAAGATCTTCCTTGTTGGACCAAGTAGAAAAAGAATAGAGAAACTGCTTCATATGGGGAACTGTTTCATTCAACTGTGATAAGGAATTAGAAACTACAGAACATTGATTATGTGATTGCGAGGTATTGGACCACAACAGATAAAAACTTTATGGGCAAGACCCTGGTGTATTTAGGAAACACCAAGCAGAAGACCTATACAAACTTCTACAGGGTACAAAAATTCTAGACTGGACGTTGAAAACAAAAATAGGTTTAAATACAATAAGCTTAGGCTTCAGTAATAACGGAGATTTTTTTGATCAGACGGGCTCAGAGTGAAAAAAAAAGAAAGTGGAATAAACCAGTTACAAATCTACAATATAAAAAGACAGATGTGACCAACCTTTAGAATTATGGACCAGTCTCCTTAACAACATCTATAAAATCTATACACGCATATTAAAATCAATATTAGAAACCCATCTTGGTTTTTATCAGATAAAAGAGCGTATAGTTTTCTACTCAGATTAAGGGACAAGTGACCATCTGCAATGTTTAAACCTACTAACAGATAAAACAGTAGAATACGAGAGAACTGTGAGAAGTCATTTGACATGGTGAAAATCTCTAGGTTTAATCCCAGTACACCAATGTTATCGACACTTATTGGCATAATAATAATTACAGATGGCCTAGGTGAAGTAATCGAATTGGTATAAGAACTGTAAAGTGTTACAGATAAACTCAAACAAAACCAAGTCAAAGTCAAATTTGATTCTCAATGAAAGAATTCAGATTAATACAGAAGAAATATAATTCGTCTAGACATTACATATACTTATATCACACAAGATAAACATAGGTAGCGAGAAAAAAACATGTGACATTTTCAGGAGCATAAATGAAAAGTTTACAATAGGCTCGAAAAAGTATTTAAGGATAACGTTATTCTGATTAGCTTAGAAAGAAAAAAAAAACTTTTAACGCTTAAACCACGGCTTCCACGGGGAAGAGTATAATAAAAAAGCTTAGGATCAAGAGCAAAGAAAGAGATATAAATATGTTATATAAAAAATAATAAATGAATACCTCCCTCTAAAAAGGTTGCAAACAGCAAAATCACTTTTTTACAGGAAGTGAAGAAAACCATAGAAACTTTCCCTGTTACAATAAAAATATGTTTATATGATGCTTACACATTATTGTTAAAGATTGCTATATATTTTTTTTTATTTTTAAAATGTACTTTAATACTATTAGACAGAATTAAATTTTTTCAATCTAAAAACGTTACACATGCCCATATGTAACGTTTTTACATTCAATCTAACTAATATTAATTATGTACTTGAAACGTTTTAAAACAAAACGCAGTTTAGATTAAAGGAGTATTACAGGAAAAATAAATGCACGGTAAAATGTAATATTAAACAAATAGTTTATTAATATAAACAATACAAAAAATGTATGATTTTATTTTATTTTCAATTTTTAAGTGTTTATCCTACATAACATTTGGATCTGCACTATCTAACGATTGATAAAAAGTTCTTTTATATGGAGGTAAGTAATCTATAAGCTTTAAAAGATCAGCCATTTTTGAGGCATTAATAGGTAGTTTATTAGGATAAAGGATTGGCATATCGATAGGGTCAACTAAGTTGTACACAGGTAATGAGGCAGTTTTAGATCTCTTTCCTTTGGGTTTCTCTATTATATTAGAAACCATCCAGTTCTGCATTGGATTGTGACATGTTCTTATACGAATGGCAGTTGGTTCGTCGTAAGTAAACTGGATCCATCTTGCTTCAGTAATTTTGATATCGGGATGTTTATAGATCTGCAGTTCAATCGACGACATATCCAAAAATTGTCCTTCCATTTCCAAAATATCAAATGGATTCGATTCTCTTATATTCCTAATCATATTAACAACATCTTGAGGATCATGAAGGGTTGCCGTTTTCTTAAACTTTTCAATAATGGCGAAATCGCGGTCACATGGAAGAAAACTGTGTCCTGTGACTAGAAATTTCTGATTGACCTCTGTGAAATAACGCAATGAAACTAGGTAATGATACAAAGCTGCCATCGCCAATTATTGTTCTCTCCTACACACCTATCAGACCATACTATAAGTTTACTCTCCTGATGTAGACCCAGGATTTCAAAATTATTTTGAATGTAGCGAAATAGTGCGGAGGAAATTTCCCCTGATCCCCGTTTTCCTACACTTTCATGCCAAACACGCATTGTTGCTCTATTCTTCCCCATATTATGAATACAAAACTTATAATTAGAATATTGTCTCAAGTAATAGACATCTGAATGGCTTAGATTAGGAGTAAAAAGGACCTGTTGCAAATCAACGCAGAGAACAACCAAATTTTCATTTTCAATAGCTGCCTGTGTATCTTCTATATAAGCCTTTTATAAGCCTTTTCTGCTTTTCTGTGGTGCAATTCTGACTGAAATTGTAGCTGCTTTAACTCTTCATTATTCTGGCTTGCAACCATTTATATATAAAATTTGTCACAAACTTTATATGTATCAGATCTGGGAACACCAAATCTTAAGTTATATTTGTCGTGAAAAATTGACCTATACAAGTGTAATTTCACCCTTGTGGTAGGATACTTATTTCTAAATAATTGGTACATTCTAGTTATGGATAGGTCTGGAGCAAGACATTTCTTTTTATTTGAGTTTCTCGAATAATGGTTTTCTTGGCAAGGAAAAGAAGAAATATGCGTAATGACAAGCTCTTGATATGCATCTGGAATACTTCGTGGTCTATTGTTATGTTTACCACGACCATCGTCGATGCTGAGACCTTGCTTAACTTTACTTGCAAGAAGCTGCAATCTCCGCCGAGTTAAATTCAAAACAGATATAATTTGTTTTTGACATACCTGCTGCCGTTGTGAAGCAATAATATTTACTGGAAGTGAATTCTTGATAGTACATTGGCGTTTGGATATATCTTCAGGCACAATTCTTCGTTTAGGTTCTCTTAACTCCATACAGTCTGCAAGGAATCGCTGCTGCTCATTATAAGAATACTGGTAAAAACGATTAAATATATCAACTTTTACTTCCAAATTCTGGTTAAGCACGGAACAACCATCATAGTTGCAAGTTAACGAACAAGTTGAATCCTAAAATAGACGTGCTGTAATACACAACAAAAACGCAGGAAAAACATTTAAGGTTAAAGTATACACATGTAACGTTTTTAGACTAACCTCATTTGGACACTGTTTTTCGGCTTTTACAATATTTTTGTGGCCCATATAACTTTTTCCACTATCCTTTAACCTTTTATTTTTTACCTGCTGCCATTGGTCATAGTGTATTTTTCGTTTTTTAGCCTTATTTGCCTTTTTTAAAACACTACACATTGGAGAAATATACGTTGTTTCTGCCATGTTTCTTACATATGTACCTAACCTTTTTAGACTGACCTCAAATTTCAGTACTAAAAATTATAATAGTTTAATTCAACTAGCGACTAAAGGATAGCACCACTGTATATTAAACTGCATAAGTAACCATTTTACATTAAAACATCACTTTATGAAAAATTGTCAGTTGCAACGTTTTTAGAGGGACCTCTTCAAATATCAGTACACATGAAAAGAGAAAATAAGATAGTTAAAGCTGGTCGAAGGAAAGCTTTAGATAGAGCTTGCAGAAATTTATTAATAAACTAATAATGGTAAATACAAATTTGGCAGAAATCTTTTAGCAGGACCTTTTTTAGCATATAAGACACATTTTAAAAGTGTAAATTTGTTCATTTTCTCTAATTTATAAGTTATTAAATATTTAAAATCGGGTTTATTGGCTTCTGGTTCAAGAAAAAAGTACGAATTACAGTAATAATTTTTTGCTTCTGATTAGTTCTAAATAATATCAAATATCACTTGATAACATAAAGCATATTGCTTATTCAAGTTACCAAAATGATACATTATATTACCCACACCACATTTCAGACATTACTCGACTGGCCTTCACACCGATACCTGCTGGTGTCGAAATTTGGGTAATGTAAATATTGTCGTTCCGTTCATTGCTCTTCACTTCATCGTCAATTGCTGCTTATTAGATAATCAGTTTTTATATTAAAATAAAGTTCGTTACATTACAGATCTATAAACTTACATAACTTTGAAAAAATTCCAATCTAAGGATGCCTACCTACAAAGTCCGTTACTTCGACATTGCTGGAAGAGGAGAACCTATTCGAATGATATTGAGTTATGGACAGATCCCTTTCATTGATGAACGTATTTCTAATGAAGATTGGTCTAAAATTAAACCAAGTAAGTTTTAATCTTAAATAACCTGCGTTAAGAGCATAATAATGCTAGATTCTCTTCTTTTTGTTTTGGCAGTTAATTACAAAAACATTTATTTATCGAATCTTATGATTTAATTCTCATATAGTTACTTCTTAAAAACCACATAATCTTATGTGGTTTTTAAGAAGTAACAAATTTGTTTGTAAGAACTTAATTTTTTTTTAAATATATTTATTAATTAAATAAGTAATTTTGTTCTGAAGTTTTAAACATTTTTGTTTTTTGTATTATATTATTAAATATAAAACAAAAAGCTTTTTCGTTAAAAAAAAAAAGATAACAGTCGAAGTATTTTATTTATCATTTTTTGGATATTTTAAGCATAATTTAGTGAATTAACCTTTTATATAATCTTTTATTTCAGTCCTTTGAAGACTGTAATATGTGTGTAGCTGTAAGTTTATTGACGATAATCTGTTTTTATAATTTCTTTAGTATCTCTGAGTATTTAATACGTACTTAAATACATTTTTCTATATTTATTGTGTATGATTTTTATTTATTTTCCAAGTAAAGATTTGCAATCTGTCATGTTTGAACAATAATCAAATTTGATAATTCAAACAGAGAAATTAACATAAGGGAAGAATACCTGCCAGTGCTGGTACCTTCGTTATTAAATTTAACTAAAATTAATATTCAAAAAAAAAATTTCTTGTATTCTAAACAATCAATTTACTAATGAAAATCTATTTGGTAAGTCCAAGGGTTTGTCTTCTCACTTCCCTGCTCTTGTCCAGTAGGTTTACCATAATAGAATGTAGGTGAATTTCTAACCACTTTAAATGCCTACACTAAATCACTACACTTTTTTTATTTCTTCACGCACAACACTCTCTGAGAGATCACTATGTATGACTTTATTAGCTTCGTATGTATGTGCAGGGTTAACAAGACTTTTAGACCCACTGCTGGATGGATAATTTCCATCGTTTTCTGTTCTTAGCTATCAGCTTCGAATCTCTGATTCCCATCTCTCTGACATCTTCCATCACTACATCTCTCCATTTCTTTCTTGGTCTTCTTCCCCATTTTTCCCCTCGAAGTGGGTAGGTCGCGCGTATATAATAGATATAAGAGTGGATCAAGCACACTATCTTGAGGTACGCCAGAGTTTATAGGTCTCAATTTTATTACTGTCGTACCGTATTTTATCTAGAAATGTCTGTCTGTTATGTAGAATTTAAATATCCTACAGTATTTAGATGGTAGTTGTTGTTAAATTTTATACACCAAGCCTGCATGTCACACTTTATCAAGAGCTTGTGTGATGTCCAAGAAGACTGCAGAAAACCAAATTAGTAGTCAGGAACTAAGCAACTTTCTTCTAGGAAAGAACTCAATTTCTTTATTATTAGTTTCTCAAGATTTTTAGCAAGAATTGGTAGGTAATAAACTAATGGGTCTATATGAAGTTACTGATTCTAAAGGTTTGTCTATTTTATAAATTAAAATAACTTGACCAACTTTCCGTTGTGAAGGAAACTATCCTAATCTTAATACTGCGTTGTAGATTTGTGTTAATAAGAGGATCGAATTGACAGAAGACGAATCCAGTAATCAGCTCATAACCAAGAGCTTTCTTTTTATTATTATTATTAAGTATTGTATTAATAATTTCATTTTTTCTAAAAGGTTTATTAGGCAGAGACATCTGGTATGGCAGTTCAAATATCTATGAATATTTCCTCTTTCTCTGGTTGTACCTCACTAGAAAATGGGGTAAAGGTAGTTTCCAAGTATTCGAGAAATATATTTGCCTTTTCGTCATCAGTGCGTGCCTAATGTCCGTTACTTGTTTTGATAGGTGATATATGTTGTTGTGGTCGTAACACTTTTCTAATAGCCTTCCAAAGGGTGTAATCTGTGGCTTCTAATGCCTCTAAATCTCTCAGATATTTTGCAGTTGATGTATTTTTTAGATCACAGCATTTTTTTCAGGTCTTTTGCTCCTTTGTTGCAAATGCAGCTTTATTGGTCGGTGCTCGATTGATTTGCCATGTCTTTCTTAGTTTTCTCGTTTCTCCAATTTTTTGTGTAATGGCCTTGGAATAGAACTATTAGGTTTATTATTGGTTGGGGGGTGGATTCCCGGCACACTTTCTGTATACATGTAGTTAGATGATCCACAGCAGTGTCTAGATCACTTTCTGTATTTCTGTATTTAGACGTACGTTTATGTTTAAGTTATTAGTTATGGTTTCTTTAAATAAAGTCTAATTGGTTTTTGATGAATAAAGCGTAGGAGGTTTAGACAAAGAAATTATTTCAGAAGACAGGGTGAGAAATATTGGCGAATGATCGGATATTAAGTCGAAGCATGATTTAGTTGTTAGATGATTACCTGCTATACCTTTAATTAAAACGTATGATTTTATTGATGATATGATTTTGTGCATTATATAGTTAAATACGTTAATTTTAGTAATTTTACTTTAATAATTATATGATATGTTTTCTGATATATTTTATTGAAAGAACTGTCGATCTAATGTTTAATTAATTTAATGTCAAGTCCTTTATAAGTCTCAGGTTAGACTTAGTCTCAGGGTAGTATTTCTTGTTTTACTTATTGTCAAATCATAATATTTTTATTACCTGCCTTTTCAATGGAAAAACAAACGACATAGTCCAAGAAATCATGGGGGTTACACATAATATTGTTGATGACATCAAAACGACAGAACTCAGATGGTACGGACACGTAAGGAGAATGCCGGAGAATAGAATACCAAAACAACTCCTTGAATGGCAACCAAGAGGTAGGCGGAAGAAAGTTGGAGAGGAGTTGATAAAGAAATCAGGGAAAGAGAACTGGAGGACGATCCATGTAACGATAGAATGAGATGAAGATTGGAAATCGAAAGACGTCGAAGAACGTTGTAAACCGACATTATTTAGAGGAAATGTGCCTATGATGGTCCCCTTAAGAAAATAGCTTCATAATAATTTTAATTATTTACTTAGCAGACTTTAAATATGACCACATAACGTCTCGTTATTTGTACAATATGGCAAATGTTTCAAATTTTGCAGAAAAAGTGATGTTAAAAATTTATTCATAATTTACTAAAATCCTGTTAAGGGTCCATCATGGGCATATATGCGCTCATGATGGACCCTTTGGTACGCCCATGATGGACTCGTTGTATTTTGTGTAAAATAATTAAATACCAAATTATTTTATTAGATTAAAAGACATTACAAACGACAAAAAATATTACACATGGTATTTTTAAGAATAAAAAAATTACGCGCACAATTCACACACAAATTGTTTATGTCGAGCATTTACATCTGCACATTCAGTGTGACACCAATTCTTACACACTTGACAACGAATCCATTTTTCATTGGATTGTGAATGCAAAAATAGTTCGTTACAGTAGATGCAAGCTGCATCGTCCGAGTCGCCTTCTACAAAAGAGCATTCACAATCGTCTTCAGAACCACTTGTAGTTGAAACACGAACTTGCCTTTTCACTTTTCTGGCGTCTTGATTCCTTTTTTTTGCTTCTTTGTCTGCAATTTTTTGTTTTATATCTTCAATTTCTGGCGTTGAATTTAAATATCCTGTTTTACCCCGTTTTCTACCCCTTTTCTGCATTACTTGAGATACTCCAGCTAAAGGAGGAGAACAAATATCTTCTACCGATATGTTTAGAACTGACGATGATGTTGATTTCTGATCAGTGGGGCTTTTTGATAAACTTTCAATCAAAGAAACATTTTGGCTCCAATGTTTCGGTGGTGACTTGTGGTCAGAACATTCTGGCAGTGGGTTTTGTTCAGAATTTTCTCTATCTGTTGTTATAGACGGCAAAAATTGCTAATCCTCGAAGACATCTGGATTGAATGGTTGTATTCCTATCTTTTTAAATGCATTGATTGTATTTGATGGTAAAGCGAAGCAGCAAAGAGACTGGCTACTTTAAATTGGGTCACCGTTTTACCTGAATTCTGTCGCAGCCATAATTGAATTTCTTGGCCGTATTAAATTTGAAGTGGTCTAAAAAATCCTACGTCCAAGGGTTAAACGTGATGAGAACAGTGAGCAGTAAAACAAAACATAATAATACCGTTTTCCTTTGCAAACAGGAGAGCTTCAAAACTTTTGTGACTACCATGGCCATCGAGTAAAAACTTTGTTGGTTTTAGAAGCCTTTGTACACCTTAAAAAATTTTGCAGCCACAAATAGAAAATATCGGAAGTCATCCATCCTTTTTCTTGAGCGAAGGCTATACTTCCAGTAGGTGCATCGATCATAAGTTCATCTTTCTTTCTCTGTCGAGGAAAAATCAAAGCAGGAAGAACATATGTTCCAATTGCATTAATTGCACATACGACCGTAACATGTAGACCGCGCTCTGCACTACTTAAAGCACCGCTTGTTTGCGACCTTTACTAGCATAAATTTTCTGCGATTTCTTTTGCACAGTTGTCAAACCGGACTCGTCCATATTATAAATGTTTTCCGGTGGAAAGTGAAACTCGTCTAATATATTTGCTAATGCAGTAAAATAGGCACATATATTTGGTTTATTAAAAGCTTGAGCCCTTGCCAACGAAGTATTTTCTGGAGTGCGTAATGATATTCGAGTATTTCGCTTTAAAAAGCCTCTGACCCATTTCCAGCCTGCCATCCTGGTTTCCTTATTAAAATTGTGGCTAATATTGTTTCTTTTGGCTACTTAGTATACAAGTTTTCGCAAATCTTTACTAGTCAGGCCAAAAAAACGAGTTTCCATAGTAATAATATGGTCAGCAACTTCCTGTTCAATAGTAGTGGAGAATATTGGTCTTTGTCCTCCCAAATCACCTTTGATACTTCCTTGATGCTTAATAAAGCGCCTTTTCAAAGTCGTTTTTGGAACGTTAAATGTTTTTGCTGCCAGCTTAAACCCCATAGTTTTTTCTTGTATGCTTTTTAAAGCTTGTTCCATATTACTATCGTTCCACTGTTGCCTTTTTTGTAGAGCCATCCCTGTAAAACATATTATGTTAATCATTAAGTAACAAAAACTGAAGGTGTGTCCAATTTTATTTTCTTTTTCCTATGATGGACCCCTAGTCCGTCATAGGTAACGACACAGGGGTCCATCATAGGCAAATAGACAGGGCAGCAAATTTAATTCTGTTACTTTTGTTTTGACCATTTTAACCTAAAACAAAGTATAGTATTTGACAAAGTAAGTGTAGTCATTTTGTACAAAAGAAAAGCAACACTTAGCTTAACGTATGTTACCAGTAAAATTTCACAAATTTACTGTTATAACAGCCACGTGTCTGAAACTTTGCAAATACTAAACAAACTTCGTGCGCAAGCGGCAACCGGCGATGTGTATGTAACCGCGCGCTATTTAAAATTACAGCCGGGGTCCGGGAATCGAGAGAAGAAATGAAAGTGTAGATATGAAAAGAAGGTTTCAAGCGGTAAATACAGCATTTTATAGAAATAAAAAAATATTTAGAGATAAAAAGATAAACTGAAACACAAAAATGAAAATCTACAAAACAACTATAAGACCAACAGTATTATATGATGCAGAAACATTTACATTAAAATCAATAGAAGAAGAGCAATTGAAAGTTTTTGAGAGGAATATCAGACAAATACTGGGACCAAAGAGTAAACAAACGAAGAGGATGCAAAACAATGGATGAATCACAAAATACAAGAACGGATAGGTCAAGAGAATATAGTTAGAGCAATAATAGCACAAACAGTTAAATGGTATAGGCACATAATGAGAAGACAGAAGAGTAATGCGTTAAGAGTTATATTGGAATAGATACAACCAGAGGCATACTTAAACTGAGATAGGGACAACAAGTGGAAGAAGACCGAAAGGAGCAATTTACCATACTCTTGTCAGCTTTTTCGTTACACCTTTACCTACCCGTTGCAGTTGACACATTTTACTTTATCGTTACGTGATTTTCGAGGACATTCTTTAGTTTCATGATTGCTTCTATATTTTTTAAGATGATTTTAAAGGGATATTTTAACCTCATTGGTTAAGTACATCATGGTAATGAAATAGTAGGTTGTGTGGGTCTATTTAAGTAACACAGATAATAATAATAATTAATTAGTACTAACACCTCACATATGAGTCACTGAATGAATGCTACTTTGTCGATTGTTCGGCCGGATACAGAAGTCTGGTCACATGGGGTGAAAATACATCACTTGCCGCACCTCACTAGAATTCAATTTGCTCTATTAATTTTATCGAAATTGATGGGAAAATAATAAAGCAGGAAGTAAGGTTTAGATATCTGGGAATAGATATGACTAGTTACGGAAATGTTGAAGAAGAAGTACGACAACTAAGCTTAAAAGCAAGTAAAGCGGCGGCATCTCTTAATGACAGAATCTGGAAGACCAAACACATAAGACAAGACACAAAAAACAAGAATTTATAAAGCAGCAATTAGATCTATATTAACATACACGGTGGAGACAAGACCTAACACTTCTAAAACGAGACGACTAGTAGAAACAACAGAGATAAAAATACTACAGGGCAAATATCAGGAAAAATTGGTTAGATAGGTAGAGAAACAAAAACATAAGAAAAACATGCACTATAGAAAACATAAATGAATGGGTGATAAAACAAAAACATGAGTGGAATGAACACATCAGTACAATGGAAGAGAATAGAATAGTACGAATAGTATGAGATAAGTCACCAAATGAACGAAGAAGTATTGGCAGACCAAGAAAAACATAGTGCGACAATTTAAACAATTTAGGAGGCTAATTGAAAAAGAAACAGGCTTTAAAGCCTGCATACAAGAAGCAAGAAGAAGAAGAATTTTAGATACTTTTTCAGATTTTTATAGTTCTTATCTTGGCGTCATTTGTAAAGGAAATAATTTTGTTTTTAATATAACTATCACTTTCGGTGGATGTCATTGCAATTTTTCCTAATTTAATACATTAATTTTTTTCATTATTCTTAGTTTACACATTTATCATTAAATTTATAATATTGTTTTTTATAATTATTGTAGCTACCCCTTTGGGCCAGGTTCCAGTTCTGGAGATAGATGGAAAACAAATTCCGCATTGCATTCCAATTTGTAGATATTTAGCATCAATCGTAAATTTGGCAGGAAGTGATGCGACAGAAAATCTTGCAATAGATGTTGCTGTAGAAACACTTGTAGATTTGGGCAACCGTAAGTACCTAAGCGCATGCGTAATTAATTTTAAAAACGATATTTTTGATTACCAATTTTTTTTCTTTTTTAATTTGTAGTTGCCTATGAAGTTAAACGGGAAACCGATGCAGCAAAGAAACAAGAAAAAGAAAATAAATTTAAACAAGCCCTATCCCTTTTCCTTGGAAAACTGGATGAGTACGCCCAAAAACATGGTGGCTACATTGCATTGCCTAGGGTAAGAACTTCAATTTAAATTATTGTGCAAAAAAAGATATTTCACCTGTAATAACTTGTGTAAAAATCTTATTAATTTTAACTGGTAACACATATTCTTAACCCTTTCAGTGCTGATGACGCACCGGTGTGTCATCAGTTTGGTTTTAGCCGGGCGCATGACGTACCGGTGTGTTATATGCCATTCGAACTAAAATGGTCAAATTTTTGTCAGCATTTACAGTTATTGTTTAAACACGGATTGAGCACGTGGCTAGAAGGTTAGGTTTATTGATATTTAGCGCCGTTCGAGAATTTATTGTCCACATAGTGGATTATTGAATAATTATTATGAGTGACATAAAATTTAGTGAACCAAGCACTTCAGGAGGAAAAAAACGTAAAATAGGGGTACACAACCGTAAATACCTTACAGAAGATGACCTTAGGCGTATTCTTGAGGAGTCAGATTTTGAAGAAAGTGATGATAATCTAGAATTCGAGGACTCTAATGATTCTAGCGACGAGGAATTCTTTGATGAGACAATTGCAGGTAATTTATCTAATAGTTAGAGTTTTTTGTATATATTTATTTAATTATTAAACAAGTACACTCTACAATATAATATACTTATATTGATTATTTGTATTATTATTTGTAGATACAACTGAAAATAATACACCTGCGAATGTTCAGAGCATATGGAGCACATTTCCAAATCTAAATAACTTTTCGTTTGAAAGAAGATCTGGTTCAGTTGCTGAAAATTTTGATATAAATTCTAGTCCGTAGGATTATTTTAGATTATTGCTAGATGATAGTTTGTTAGAACTTATTGTCACAGAAACAAACCGATATGCAGAAGACGTTTTTCTTTTCCAAGTTTGCTTTGAGAATTCACGAATAAATCGTTGGAAACCACTTACAACAGAAGAACTATTAACATTCATAGGTCTCATTTTATATACCGGAACTATTAAATATAATGTCCTTAAGGATTATTTTAGAACTCACTGGCTTTTTGGGTTACCATGTTTTTCACGATACATGAGCCGTGATAGATTCATGTTGGTTTTAAGATGTTTACATTTCTGTAATAATCGGAATCAAGGTGCAAATATTCCAGAAGATCGACTGTATAAAATTCGCCCTCTACTTATATATTTTGAAGAAAAAATGGTAGCAACGTATTATCCAACAAAAAATTTGTCATTAAATGAATCGATGTTACTTTGGAGAGGTAGGCTCATCTTTCGCCAGTATATAAAAAACAAAAAGCATAAGTACGGTATAAAACTGTACATGCTAACCAAATCTGAAGGCTTTGCCCTAAATTTGTTAATTTATTCCGGTCAAGGCCCAAGGGGACGTATATGGAGGAATAGGACACACGGAAAAAGTTGTAATGACTTTGATGCAAAGATATTTAAATGCTGGATATTCCCTATATATGGATAATTTCTACAATTAATATAATCTAGCAAAAAAACTATTAAAAGCAAAAACGTATGGTACAGGAACACTAAATGTAAAAGGAAAAGAAAATCCTCAAGAAATTATAACATCAAAACTCAAGAAAGGAGATATGAAAGCGGTTTATAGAGACGGTGTGATGATTGGAAAGTGGAAAAATAAAAGAGACGTTTTATATATATCTACCGAGTTTGAAAGTGTTCTAATAGAAACAGTAAACAAACGTGGTATTTCAAAAGAAAAACCACAACCTATAGTTGAGTATAACAAATACATCGGCTGAATTGATCACACAGATCAAATGATGTCCTATTATACCAGCATTAGGAAAACGCTGCGATGGTATAAAAAATTGGGTATACACATCATGCAATTAATATTACATAATTCTTTCATTCTTTACAATAAAAATCATTGGGGGCGACGCCTCTCCTATTATGATTTTCGGTTAGCAGTGCTTGAAAAAATTCTTCCTAATGTTCAAAATACAAAAAATGAACTCTCAGCCAGTTTACCAAATCACTTGCCTGAAAAAATTGAAATAAGAAATGAATCCGGTAGAGTTTTGCGGAAACGTTGCAAAATATGCTGGCGAAAAAATATCAGAAAAGACAAGTCGTACCATTGTAAAAAGTGTCCCGATTTACTAGGTTTGTGTGTGGGAAAATGCTTTGAAGAATATCACAAATAACAATTGTTTACTTTTATGTTTGTTTTTTTTAATAATTGTAATTTGATCATAAATATTTTTTCTGTATTACTTAAAAATAAAACATGTGTTTCCAGATGCATATTTTTTATTTAAATACTTTTATTTAAAATAAATATGAACAACGCACCGGTGCGTCATGAGCACACCGCACAACAATTTGGTTTGGCGTGCTCATGACGCACCGGTGCGTTATGAAAAAAAAATAAAGAGAAACCTTTAACTGTATTTAACTATGTATATTTTTCACATAGGGAAAGATATATAATTATTATTAACAAACAACGTCATAGGCTATCTGGAATGTCCTTCAGAAGTAGTTAGCATTGAATGGGTTAATGTAGGGGAGAGTTTGGGAGAGAGAGAATGAGAGAATTGTGGGCATCAATGTTTCTAATCTACTATTTAATTAAACGGCAAAAAATATAATGTTGCGCTATTTATTAGCAACTGCCAGATCTATCCCACACAAACGAACGTCAGTAGATACTTTACTGATTGGCAGTTGTTATCGTTTACATGTTTCCGCGTGATAATTTATTGTTTGTGTAAGTTTTTTTCTTGATAGAAATATGGTTTTAAAAGCTACACACTCATGTTATTTATTTCCCATTTTAGACACTGTTATGGTAATTCTTACCTGATTGTTTTTTGTTTTTATTCAATTTTGAGTTATGTAGTGAAGTGAAAGGTCTTTTAATATTGCACATTGCGCACCATTAACCGAAAATGTATACTTATAAAGGCATTTTGTTACGTTTTGTGACTGCCATAACTTCTGTCAATAAAATTAAATACAGATTTTTCAATCAAGCGATTGTTATTAACATTCTACAAAAAAAAATTATACGTTCATATAACATGTTTTATTTAGAAAACCATTATTTTCCAGATGCCAAAATATCAACAAAAAACCACAAAGGCATTTTGGGATTCTGAAAGTATGAGCACGACTCTACACTTCGTAAACAATGGTAGTAAAATCCGCGAATCTGGAAGGTTTAATATTCCAGAATCTTCTATTCGAAAATGTAATAAATGTGTTGATGATGGACGTGACATCGTAGATTCTCATTTTATGAAACGTTGCACCTTTTTGCTTAATCAAAAAAAAAACAATTAGTAGAGAAACCAGTTGAGAAGACTTACATTCTCACTACCGAATGCTAGCCATATTAAATATCATTTTAATGTTCAGGCACAAATGGCAGACAAGACTGGTATTATGGCTTTCTTAAGAGACATCCAGAAACTTAATGAGCCCGCCAGGTAAATAAGGAGTAAGTCTTTTTTAATAATTTGCAACAATTGTACATGAAATTTAACTTCATGGAAGACCGAATTTTTAACGTTGACGAGAGAGGAATTACCACTGTATAAAAGCCTTGCAAAAAACTGGGATCTAATGGTGTTAAACAGTTTGGCAGAAAAACATCCGGTAAAAGAAGGTCACAATTATTTGCTGCTTCAACACATCAGACACCTGTTACATTCCACCAATATTTATCTTTCCAATAATTAGAATGACAGATGCATTAACAAAAAATGGTCGATCCACATCTATTTATCCTTGTTCTAAAAGCGACTGGAGTAACGAAGTTCTTTTTTATGAATGGCTTCAGCATTCAAAAATACGGTGAAACCGTCGAAAGATGATCCAGTCATTTTGATTTTGGATAACCTCTATAGTCATATTTGTCTTCCTAGATTTAGTTACCTTATAGACCATGGGATTTCTCTTTTAACAATGCCTCCTCACACTTCACACAAGCTCCAACCATTAGATATAACTTTTTGTGGTCCTCTCAAATCAGAATTCAATAAGTATTGTGACTATCATTTATTGACAGCAGAGAGGATAACTCAGTATGATTTAGTCGAGATATGTAATTAAGCATACGTGCATACTACTACAATACACAAAGCATAATCCAGCTTTCAGGCAGCTGATATCTGGCATTTTCAAAAAGATTGATTTGCAGATGATGACTTTTTGTGTGTGTGTGAGTTTGTGCATTATTGGCTCCGGAGACTCTGTCCATTCGCCATTTTACCTTTATGGGATAATTTTGTATTTTTTATTCGGAAGCAATAAAGGAGTGCTCCTTGCTTTCTTCTCGTTTGCTATACAATCATAGTCCTGCTCTAATTTTACAAAGAATTATTTCCTATATATCTAATTTTACAGTTATACCTTAGACTTGTATTACTCTTATAACATATATTCAGCTTGTTTTGAATTATTTACTTTATGATGACTTTTTAGCCACAATTTATTATTTACCTGTTGTAGTTGATGATGTAGTTGATTATAAACAATGGCCTAAAGACTGGACAAAATCTACAATAACGACCATACATAAAAAACGCAGCTTCCATAAATGCGACAATTAATAGAAACATCTCTCTTATATCCCATGCCAGCAAGATAATGCTAAATATAATCAATGAGAGACTGAAAACATTCCTTCAAAGAGAAATTCCACAAGAGCAAACTGGATTTACCAAAGGTAGAGGCACTCAAGAACACCTGCTGAATATAAGACAGATAATAGAGAAATCTAGGGAATTCAACATCCCACTATACATCTGTTTTATAGATTACCGTAAAGCGTTCGACAGGGTCAAGTGGAGACACTTATGGCGAATAGAAGAAGAAGTAGGCATACCACAACATCTAATTACGCTTATAACTGAACTATATGAACACACTACTGGATCAGTTAAAGTACTTGACACATTTTCGAACGAGTTTCATCCAGAACGGGGTGTCAGACAAGGATGTATACTATCTCCACAATTATTCAACATATATGGAGAGTATATTATGCGAAGAGCA